CGGGGCCGCCGCGCCGCGCGCCCCGTGACGTCACCGCGCCGCCGCGCCCACCAATCACCGCGCGGCGCGGGGGAAGGGGGCGCGGCCGCCGCGCGCCGACCAATCAGCGGTCGCGGGGCGGTGCCTGGAGAGTGACGCCTCTTTTGGCGGGCTCTCCCGCTCCACCCCCGTCCCTCATGACTCCCTGTGACGTCACATGGGGCGGGGTCAGGACGCAGCCTCGTGACGAGGGGCGGGGCCACAGCGATCCCTATAGGGGCTATAGGAGCCTGGCCCCGCCCCCCAGGGCCATAGGGGACCCCTCAATGTTTGGGGGCCCCTGCACGACCCCAGCGCCCCTTCAGGTGCGGCCGGGAGCCACAGACACCCCCGGGCGGCTCCAGGGGACCCCGGCGGCTCCACAGGCACCCCGAGGAGCTTCACGCAGGGCCTGGAGGGTCCATAAGGGCACCCACAACCCCTACAGAGGCTCTGGAGGGTCTATAGAGCCCCCCCAGACTCGCTGCAGGGGCAACAGGGACCCCAAGAAGCCCCGGAGAGCCCCAAAACAGCCCCTGCAGTATCCACAGGGACCCCCAGGCTCCCCCCAAATCCCACAGGGAATTCCCCGCGGAGCCTCAGGGCCCAGCCCAGGGGCGGGGCTCCAGCCGGGGGCGGGGCCCGGGGCACTGAAAACCCCCCAGGGCCCCTCCGTGCCCCACACACCTGAGACCCCCTCCCCCGGGACCCCCATGGCGCCTCCACCGCCCCCCGGCCACCTCAGCCTGGCCCGCGGGCTGCAGGTGAGAGCGGGCCCCCGATTTTGGGGGGGCCCAGCCGCGGGGCTGGGGGGCCGCGGGCATCCGGGGCGGGGTGGGGGCACGAGGGCGGCCGCGGCACTTCCTGCCCCCGGAAAGGGGAAGTGACACAAGGGACCCGGCCGTTCAGGGGGGGACCCCGAGAGGTTTGGGGGGGACGCGGGAGCTCCGGCAGCCCCGTTCGGGGGGGCCGCAGGTGACCCCCTGCCTCCCCAGCCCCCCCTGTACCAGGACGCCGTGGCCCGCCGGGCCCTGCGGCCCGCCCTGCTCAGGTGAGTGCTCGCCGCGGGGACAGGTGACGCGGGCGGGTGTCCCCTCCCTCGCCGCCCCTCCGCTGTCCCCCCCGCAGGAGCGTTTCGGTGCCGGCCGAGCCCCCCGCGCCCCCCGCCATGGATGTCACCTACGCCGTGGTCAACAAGCCCCGCCGGGGGGGCGGGGCCGCGGGGAGAGGCCCCTCCCCCTTGGGGAGAGACCACGCCCCCTTCGGACGAGACTCCGCCCCCTCGGGCACGTGCTCGCTGCCGGGCAGCCCCGTGCGCCGCCCCTCCCCCAGCCCCGCAGGTGAGTGGGGGGGGTTGGGGGGGTTGGGGGGGTCTGGGGTCCCCAGGGTCGATAATTCTGACCCTGGTTCCCCCCCCCAGGCTCCCCCAGACCCACGGATGGCGCCTACGAGGTCGTGACCCCCCCTGCTGACACCGGCAGCGGCCCCTGCCTGGGTGAGCATGGGGGTCCCTGCTGGCCTGGGGGGGTCTCGGTGTCTGGGGGGGTTCAGGGGGGACATCAATGTCCAGCCCCCCCCTCACTGACCCCCTGCTCCTCCCCCCAGGGTTTAACTTCCGCATCGGGAAGCCCAAGGGCCCGCGGGACCCCCCGGCCGAGTGGTCCCGGGTGTGAGGGGGGGTCTGGATCCCTGTGGGCCCCCCCAAGAGAGGAGGGGCTGCAGCAGAGCCCGGCTGATCCTTACGGCACCCAGTATAAACAAAAACGATTTATTACAAATAAAAACTGCTTGTGAGAAACCCAGCCGTGCCTGGGGGAGTCCAGAGGGGGCTCAGCTGCCGGGGCGGTCTCAGGGGCGCAGGTGGGCCCCACCTGGGGGGGTCTCCAGGTGGGTCCTGGGGGGCTCAGGTGGCGCTGAGCAGGCGGCGCTTGGGGGCCGTGGCCGTGTACGGGTGCCAGCGCCACTCCACGTCGGCCGCGTCCCCCTGGTCCAGGGTCCCCAGGCGGATCAGGTAGGCTGGGGGGGACACGGGGGGGTGGTTGGGACATTTGGGGACACACGGGGACCCTTTCAGGGCTGTTGGGGACAGCAGGGGACACTCACGCCTCAGCTGGAAGCGGGGTCCCACCTCCTCCAGCTCCACTGTCCGCCCCCGGCGCCGGTACACGTGGTTCCTGTGGGGAGGGGGGGTCAGAGGGGCCCTTGGGGGGGGTCTGTCCGTGTCCCCGTGTCCCCACGTGTCACCCACCGCACTAAAATGACGTCATCCTCGTTGGCGAAGGTCACCACGCGGCGGCTGTCGGGACGGGGAACGGGGAACAGGTGCTTCAGGATGGTCCCGACCTGTGGGGGGACAGGGGTGGGGACAGGGATGGGGACAGATGGGGTCACCCCACCCCTGTGGCTTCCAGTGTTCCTCCCCAGTGTCCCCATTTCCTCCCCCATGTACCCCCAGGTGTGTGTTCCCCCTTCCCCTCCTGTCCCGCCATGTCCCCAGTGTCCCTCCATGTCCCCATTGTCCCGTGTCCCCCACATCCCCATTGTCCTTCCATGTCCCCACTGTCCCCCATGTCCCCACTGTCCCCCCACACCCTCAATGTCTCCCCACGTCCCCATTGTCCCCCAATGTCCCCACTGTCCCCCCACATCCCCAATGTCCCCCCACATCCCCATTGTCCCTCCACGTCTCCAATGTCCCCCCACGTCCCCATTGTCCCACATCCCTATTGTCCCCCACATCCCCATTGTCCCCCCCGGCCGTACCCTTTTTCCCAGAGTGGAGTCCAGGCGCAGCAGCAGCAGGTGGGGGGCGGCCAGCGGGGCCCCCCCGAGCCCCCCGACCTCCTGGCGCAGCACGGCCCCGCTCAGCGTGAAGTGGGCAGTGGGGCCATGGGGCAGGTGGGACACGGTCAGCCCATCTGGGGGTGGGGCTTGGTCAGGACACACCCATGCACGGGCCACGCCCCCTTGGGATTAGCCCCACCCACTCCCACAATGCCTCAGGGTTTAGATTTTATGTTTTTCAGATTCTGTGTTGTTTAGTGTGTGAGTCTGAATTTTATATTAAACGTTGGTGAGCTCTCCATCCCCATTGTCCCTCTATGTCCCCCCGGCCGTACCCTTTTCCCCAGAGTGGAGTCCAGGCGCAGCAGCAGCAGGTGGGGGGCGGCCAGCGGGGCCCCCCCGAGCCCCCCGACCTCCTGGCGCAGCACGGCCCCGCTCAGCGTGAAGTGGGCAGTGGGGCCATGGGGCAGGTGGGACACGGTCAGCCCATCTGGGGGTGGGGCTTGGTCAGGACACACCCATGCACGGGCCACGCCCCCTTGGGATTAGCCCCACCCACTCCCACAATGCCTCAGGGTTTAGATTTTATGTTTTTCAGATTCTGTGCTGCTTTAGTGCGTGAGTCTGAATTTCATATTAAATGTTGGTGAGCTCTCTGCACAGAGTAGGAGACAAAACAATTCCTTCTCTAGCTGGGAACCCAGGACAAATGATCCAAATCTCAGGCCCAAGAACACAAACAATTTGGATTGAAAACATAAAATCAAGAAAAATGGAACTTCATAACCTAAAGCTGTAACTGCACAATTAACTTCAATATGCAAACGGATCAGAACTTATAAAAGTGTCAGACCCTGTGACCAGTTGTCCATTTTTATAACATTTTGGTTCAGCTTGGGTGCCACCCTGGCTCTCGTGCTGCCCAAGGTGGATCCATTAAGGAAATCCATTTAATAAATTATTAATTAACTCTGCCTAGCTGTGCTCCAGCTCACCCTTCCCAAAGCATCCACCCAGAAGGTGACCCCAGCCCCCCCAGAGCCCCCCAGGCACTGACCGGGCCGCCCGCGGGTCTCGTGCAGCACCAGCAGGTCGGTGACCCCCGCGGCCCGGCACGCCGCCACCAGCGCGCCCAGCTCGGCACGGCCGCGGTTCATGCGGCGAGCGCCCGGCAGCAGCAGGCACAGCTCCTGGGACGGGGACACGGGGACACGGCGCGGGGTCAGCCACAGCCCCGCCGCGCGCTGTTCGTGTCACCCCTTCACACAGCGTGCCCACAGCTGTGACATTACAGCGTCCTTGTGTCCCCAAATCACCCAACCCACGTCCCCGAAATCATCCCCCACCATCCCCCAAATTACCCCCAAATCACCCAACCCATCTCCCCCAAACCACCCCCCGTGTGTCCCCCAAATAACCCCCCATGTGTTCACACCCTTTGTCCCCCAAATCACCCCCGTGTCCCCCAAATCTCCCAGCCCATCTCCCCCAAATCATCTCTCACCATTCCCCAAATCACCTCCCTCGTGTCCCCAAATCACCCCCCAGGTCTGTGTCCCCCTCTGTCCCCCCAGCACAGGGTGACAATGACACACCCATCCCCTGGCTCCGCCCCTTCATCATTTTAGGGTGTCAGAGCCACGCCCACACCCAGGCCACACCCACAACGACTCCTCCCACTGTTATGGGTTTTACTGCCCAGCATTGGCTCAGCCCCACAAGGGGTGGGGCCAAACAAGCCACTCCCACTGCCCAGCCACACCCACAGAAAGCCCCACCCCTTTTTGAGGCCACACCCCCATGGGAGCACTCAGAGGGGTGGGGTCAGGGTGTGAAGGCTGGGCCACACCCACCTTAGAGCCCCACCCAGCTTTAGCCACGCCCAAAACTGGCCACACCCACACCACAACCACACCCAGATTAGGCCACACCCACCCCAGAGTCACACACCGATTAGGCCACACCCACCAGAGCCACACCTGCATTAGGCCACGCCCACACTGGCCACACCCACCTTGGCAAAGAGCCTGAGGCGGGCGCTGGGGTCACGTGACGTCGTCACCATCACCTTGGGGGGCTCCAGCCCCGCCCACTTGTACTCGTCATCCTGGCTGTCACCGGTCTCTGGGGGCGGGGCTTTATCAGACCACGCCCCCTGCATTTCCAGCCCCGCCCACTGCAGCCACGCCCACCCCAGGTCACTGCAGTGAGTGGGTTTGGGGGGATTTTGGGGGGAAATGGGTTTAATTCCCGTTTTGGGGGAGTCAGGCCCAGATTTGGGGTGCAGCCCAGGCTGTGGCTGCTGGTGCAACCCCACGCTCACTTTGGGGTGAATTTAATCTTATTTGGGAAATTTAGAAACCCAGAGAATTTGGGTAAACTCCTAAAAGCGGGGCAAACTCTTTTTTAGGTCTTTTTTGGGGCTGCCTTCCTCCTGTCCCTGGATTCCCCTCTCCCCATTTTGGGGTCCAGCCCCTTCAAGGGTCTTGCCTGCCCCCCACCCCTGGGTTTGGAAGTTCCAACCTCTTCCAGTTTGGGGGTCCCTCTCCCCACCCTCCCCTCCAATTTGGGGGTCCCTCTCCTGACCCTTCCTTCCAATTTGGGGGTCCCTCTCCCCCAATTTGGGGGTCTCTCCCTCCTGACTTGGGGGTTCCTCCCCCTGAATTTGGGGGTCTCTCTCCTGTGACCTGAGGGTCCCTCTCCCCTGATTTGGGGGTCCCTCTACCCCAATTTTTAGGTCTTTTTTGGGGCTGCCTTCCTCCTGTCCCTGGATTCCCCTCTCCCCATTTTGGGGTCCAGCCCCTTCAAGGGTCTTGCCTGCCCCCCACCCCTGGGTTTGGAAGTTCCAACCTCTTCCAGTTTGGGGGTCCCTCTCCCCACTCTCCCCTCTTGATTTGGGGGTCCCTCTCCTGACCCTTCCTTCCAATTTGAAGGTCCCTCTGCCCCAATTTGGGGGTCCCTCTCCCCCAATTTGAGGGTCTCTCCCTCCTGACTTGGGGGTTCCTCCCCCTGAATTTGGGGGTCTCTCTCCTGTGACCCGAGGGTCCCTCTCCCCAGATTTGGGGGTCCCTCTCCTGACCCTTCCTTCCAATTTGAAGGTCCCTCTGCCCCAATTTGGGGGTCCCACTCCCCCAATTTGAGGGTCTCTCCCTCCTGACTTGGGGGTTCCTCCCCCTGAATTTGGGGGTCTCTCTCCTGTGACCCGAGGGTCCCTCTCCCCAGATTTGGGGGTCCCTCCACCCCATTTTGGGGGTCCCTCTCACCCCCCGGTGCCTGGAAGTCGAACTCCAGCTCCTTCTGCAGGGCCAGCGCCTCGTGCCGCAGCTCCGTGGGCAGCAGCCGATTCTCTGGGGGGGGGAGAGAAACGGGGGGGCTCAGACAGGACCCCCCAACCCTCCCCATTCCAATACCCCAGCCCCAAATAACCCCCTGGGCCTGCAGCACCCCCAGCTCCCCTTTTAACCCCTCCTTAACCCCCCAAACCCCCCCAACCCCCTTAAACTCCTCTCTACCCCCCCAAACTCTCCTCAGCTCCTCCAAATCCCCTTTGCCGCCCCCAAACCTCTTTTCACACTCCCGGAATCTCTTCCCACACCCCTTAACTCCTCCCAGACCCTCTGTAACCCCCCCAAATTCCTCCCGGTGCCTCCCCACCCCTCTGGCTGCCCGTGTCCCCCCTGTCGCCCCCTGCCCGTGCTCCGGTACCGTCCAGCGCCCGCCGCAGGGTCTCCTTGCGCTCCCGCTGCCGCTGCTGCTGCTGCTCCCGGGCCCGGCGCTGCAGGTACTCCCGGCGCTCCCGGGCCTGGCGCCGCAGCTGCGACACCGGGACAGACACGGTGACACCGGGACAGACACGGTGACACCCGGACAGACACGGTGACACCGGCGGGGACACGCGGGGGGCGGCGGGGAAGGGCCCGGTGGGGGGGATACGGGGGAATGAGAGGATGGGGGGCGCTGAGGGGGCGGCAGCGAGGGATGGGGGACATTGGGGACATCGGGGGACATCGGGGGACAGCGAGGACAGCGGACACAGAGTGAGGGACGCGTGAGGGGGGATATGGGGGCGGTGGGCAGGGGGCAAAGCCCGCTGTGGGGGACAGGGAAATGAGAGCATGGGGGACACGGAGGGGACGCCGGAGGTGCTATGAAGGGATGGAGGACAGGAGGGGACACGGGGGGAGACACGGGACCACCGACCCAACCCCCGCGCCCCTCACCATGGTCGCGGTCGCTCCGCGCTGCTCCTCACACGCCGGCACCTCCCAGCACCGCCGCCTCCCATTGGCCGAGCGCCGGCGGACCAATGGGAGCGCGCGGTGCTGCCGGAGAGGGGAGGAAACACTGCGCCCTCACTCAAGATGGCGGCCGAGCCGGCGTCACCTCGCTGAGCTGCCTGCCCTCACGCAGGCCCCGCCCACCAAGCTGCCACGCATCCTGATTGGTCGGGTGGTGCCGGGGCGGGCTGCGATTGGATGAGACGGAGCCAGGCCTGAGGCCGCGCTGAGGGCGGCGATGGACGGTGAGGGAGGGCCGGGGGCTCCGGGGGTCTCTGGAGGTCCCGGGGGGTGTTTTTAGGGCTCTCCGGGGGTTTGGGCGGTTCCCAGAAGATAGGAAACGTTTTGGGGTGGCTTTGGGGCTCTCAGGGAGCCCGAGGGTTTTTTCAGCGGGTTTCCGGGGGCGCTTTTGCTGTGGTCTCTGAGGGCCCGGAGGTGTCTGGGGGTGTCCCCAGGGACAGGGGTGACACACGGGTGACACTGTGGGGACCCGGCCGGTCCCTGGGCGAGGGGGACGGTTCTGGTGGGTCTGGTGGCGCCCCTGGGGTCCCCCCGGGTGTCGCTGCGGGGTCCTGAGCCGTGTCCCCTCCCCACCGCAGGGTCGCTGTCGCTGTCGCTGGACGCAGCCGCGCTGGAGGTGATGGAGGCGCTGGAGCTGCTGCAGCAGCGGCGGGAGCAGCTGGAGCAGCACATGCGGCAGGTGAGGGGACACGGCGGGGACACTATGGAGACGTGCCACCCCTCATGGGGACACTTGTGAGGAGGTGCCACCTGCCACGGGGACACACCTGGCGGGTGTCACCCGCCACAGGGATGTGCCAGCCCCACGGGGACACAGCTGGGGACTGTCCCCTGCTGTGGGGATGTGGCTGGGGACACACCACCCACCCTGGGACATGTTGGGGGGACGTGTCACCCACTGTGGGGACACAAAGGGACACACCACGGTGTCTCCTGTGTCTCCCCCAGGTGACTGTCCCTAACGCCATGTTCCTCTGTCCCCCGTGTCGCCACAGGGGTGGCTGTCCCCGTGCTGTCCCCAATGTCCCTGCAGGGGTGGCTATCTCCCTGCTGTGTCCCCACTGTCCCCCATGTCCCCACAGGGGTGGCTGTCCCTGGCCCAGGCCCGTTACTCCCTGGGCTGTCACCGCGTCTCGTCCCTGCAGTACGGGGCCACCATGGTGCCCCGAGTCCGTGTGTGCCACAGGTGGGGGACATGAGGGGACAAGGACACTGGGGGGGACACGGGGACATTGGGGACACTCAGTGGGGGGTGACAGGAACACTGGAGGGGACATGAGGACATTGGGGACACACTGAGCAGGGTGGGAAGGACAAAGGGGACACTCAGTGGGGTGGCAGGGACACAGGGAGGGACACTGGGAGGGACAATGGGACATTGGGGACACTCAGTGGGGGTGGCAGGGACACAGGGAGGGACACTGGGACATTGGGGACACTTAGTGGGGGGTGACAGGGATACAGAGAGGGACATTGGGGACATTCGGTGGGGGTGGCAGGGACACGGGGGGGGACAGGGGGACATTGGGGACACTCAGTGGGGGTGGCAGGAACACTGGAGGGGACATGAGGACATTGGGGACACACTGAGCAGGGTGGGAAGGACAAAGGGGACACTCAGTGGGGTGGCAGGGACACAGGGAGGGACACTGGGAGGGACAATGGGACATTGGGGACACTCAGTGGGGGTGGCAGGGACACAGGGAGAGACACGAGGACATTGGGGACACTCAGTGGAGGTGGCAGGGACACTGGGGGGGACACAAGGACATCGGGGACACACTGGAGGGAACACAAAGAGGTGTCCCCAGTTTGGGGAGGTGACACAGGGGTGACATCAATGTCCCCAGTGTGAGGGGGGGTTTAGGAGTTCTGGGGGGTGCTGGGACGTCCCTGTGGTGGCCCAGTGACACCAGGGCAGGCTGGTGACACTGTCCCCACTGTGTCACCCCCAGGCAGGACCCGGAGGGACGCCCCCACTTTGAGGAGGTGCCTGGAACAGGGGGAGACCCCGAGGACCCCGACCCCCAGCAGGGCGGGGGTGACGGTGAGGGGGGGCTGGGTGGTCCCTGGGGGGGTCCTGGGGGTGTGGGGGTCCCCAGAATGTCCCCAGTGGGTGTTGGGGACAGATTGGGGGCTCTGGGGATGTCACCCATGGGGTGCTGGGTGTGGGGCAAGGGAGGAACTGAGGGGGGATTTGGGGTCCCCCCTTGGGGGGTCCTGTGGGTGCTGGGGGGTCCCCCAGTTGTTTTGGGGGGGTCTCTGACCTTCCTCTCTCCCCCAGGGCTGCGGCAGCGTCGGGGAGCCCCCGAAAAAGGGGGGACCCCCAGCCGGCCCCCCCCAGACCCCCTGGGCTGGTTTGGGGTCCTGGTGCCCCCCAGTCTGCGGCAGGCCCAGGGCAGCTTCCAGAAGGGTGAGGACTGGGGGAACTGGGAGGAACTGGGGGGAACTGGGGAGGAACTGGGGGGAAACTCGGAGGAACTGGGGGGAACTGGGGAGGAACTGGGAGGGAACTGGGAGGAACTGGGGGGAACTGGGGAGGAACTGGGGGGAACTGGGAGGAACTGGGGGGGACTGGGGGGAACTGGGAGGAACTGGAGGGATCCCCAAAAACCACCAAAGGTCCCCAAACCCAGAGGGGCCCAAGAATGGGGGAACGCCCCAAACCGGGGGTGACCCCAGAACTGGGGAGGGCCCAAAGCTCACGGCCCCCGTGAGCTCCTTGGTCCCCTCGGTGTCCCCTGTCCCCAGGGGTGACGCTGGCCGTGGAGGTGGCCGAGCTCCAGGCCACCATGGAAGCCGCGGCCGCCCGGTACCGGCAACTCCTGCGGCAGAAACGTCACCTGGCCGGGGACAGCGGGGACAGCCAGAGCCCCACCGGAACCCCTGGGGACAGCCAGGACACCGAGGGTGACACAGTGACCTCAGTGACTGCGTGACACGAGGACACGTCTGCAGGTGACACACGGGAGCACAGGTGACACCGTGGGCCACGGGGACACAGGTGACACGGGGCTGTGCTGACCCTTCACAGGTGACACAGCTGCCACCAGTGACATGGAGGACAGCAGCACCTGCCTGTGGTGACACCAAGTCCCCAAGGCCTGCAGAGCCACGGGGACAGAGGTGACACGGGGCTGTGCTGACCCTTCACAGGTGACACAGCTGCCACCAGTGACACGGAGGACAGCAGCACCTGCCTGTGGGTGACACCAAGTCCCCAAGGGTGACACTGCGCACCAGGTGACACTGAGGACTTTGCAGGTGACACCGAGCCCCACATGTGACTGAGTGTCTGAGGGGGATCCCCCCATGTCCCCACCCCCAATAAAGCCACCCCGGTGCCACCACGGGGTCATTTATCACCGTTGTCAGGTGCCAGCTGTGCCAGTGCCACCATAGCTAATGCCACCATGGCATAATTTGTCACCGCTGTCACATGCTGGCTCTACCTGTGGCACTGCGGGGCCACTTGTCACTGCTGTCAGGTGCCAGCTGTGCCAGTGCCACCATAGCTAATGCCACCATGGCATAATTTGTCACCGCTGTCACATGCTGGCTCTACCTGTGGCACTGCGGGGCCACTTGTCACTGCTGTCAGGTGCCAGCTGTGCCAGTGCCACCATAGCCAATGCCACCATGGAGTCATTTGTCACTGCTGTCACGCGCTGGCCATGCCAGTCACACTGCAGGGTCATTTGTCACCGCTGTCACATGCCGGCCGCAGCAGTGCCACCATGGGGTCAATGGTCACCGCTGCCACGTGACTCAGACACGCCCCCTTTTTGCCAAGGTCTATGTTTATTGGGCGGGGCCCTCGCCCCGCCCCCAGACCCCGCCCCCACCCAGGGGGCGGGGCCGACACAACAACGACTATGGGAGAGGGGCGGGGCGTGATGGGGCGTGGCCGGTGCGGGGGCGTGGCCGGGCGGGGGCGTGGCCGGGCGCCCCCTAGCGGATGGTGTAGCGCACGTAGGGCACCTCGATGTCGGCGTCGCTGTCGTCGTTGCAGCACAGCTCGAACACCAGCGCCTTGACGTGGCGGCCCAGCTTCTTCTTGGACACCCGCGTCACGATCTCTGTCATCCTGCGGGGACAGGGGACATGGCCTCTGTCATCCTTCAGGGGCAGGGGACATGGGGGATGTGGCACAGACAGGGGGCACTGTCATCCTGTGGGGGCAGGGGACATGGGGGACATGGCAGAGACAGAGGGTACAGTCATCCTGCAGGGACAGGGGACATGGGGGACATGGCAGGGACAGAGGGTACAGTCATCCTGTGGGGACAGGGGACATGGGGGACGTGACAGAGACAGAGGGCACAGCCATCTTTCAGGGACAGGGGACATGGCAGGGACAGAGGGCACAGTCATCCTTCAGGGACAGGGGACATGGGAGACATGGCAGGGACAGGGGGTATGGTCTCTGTAATCCTGTGGGGAGGTGGGGGACATGGCAGAGACAGAGGATACTGCTACTTTGTGGGGACAGGGGACATGCCAGGGACAGGGGGCACGGTCTCTGTCATCCTGCTGGGACAGGGGACTTGGGGGACATGGCAGGGACAGGGGGCATGGGTCATCCTGGGGGGACATGGCAGAGATGTGTCAGAACACGTGGCATGGTCTCTGTCATAGGAGGGTGACACGTGGCAGAGATCATCCTCTAGGGACAAGAGGGGACACAGGGAGTGCCAAAGGGGCACAAAGGGGATGGGCACACACAGGGAGGGGACATGGCCACACCCTGTCCCCACCCCTGGGACATGTCCCCCCACCACAGGGCTGCGTTCTTGTCCCCAGGACACGTCCCTGCCATGGGTTGTGCCCTTCCTCCAGCGGTGCCCTGGACCCCACCCATGTCCCCCCGTGTCCCCATGTCCCCCCCTGTCCCCATGTCCCCAGTGTCCCTACGGTTGGTCGTGGCGCTCGCGCAGCTTGGCGGCCGGCATGAAGAAGGAGTAGAGCATGGACACGCCCTGGGACAGCATGGTGATCTCCAGCCGGTGCTCCTTCTGTGGGGACATGGGGACAGGGCTCAGCGGGGCTGGGGGACAGCGGCCACCACGGGAACCCTGCGGCCTTGGGGACATCGGCCATCACAGGGGTCAGCAGGGCTGGGGGACAGTGGCCACCACGGGAACCCCGTGGCTTTAAGGACATCAGCCACCATGGGGCACCCAAAGGAACCTCATGGCCTTGGGGACAGCAGCCACCACAGGGCTCAGCGGGGCTTGGGGACATTGGCCACCACAGGGGTTTGACCTTTCCCCATTTCCCAGCACTCTCCTCTTGGCTGGGGTGCCTCAGCTGTCCCCTGCACAGCTCCCAGTCCCTCCCAGTCCCTCCCAGTTCCTCCCAGTACCTTGAAGTAGGCGAGGAACTGGCGCAGGGTCATCTCCTGCCCGTCGGGCTGCAGCCCCTGCACCTCGAACCGGTCCCACAGCGTCCACTCCACCTCGTAGTACTGGGGACACGGTGGGGACAGTCAGAGCCACGGGGGGACCCCAAATCCCAGCTGGGAGTGACCCCCAGCCCTACTGTGACCCCAAATCCTCTCTGGGAGTGACCCCCAGCCCCACTGCGACCCCAAATCCCAGCTGGGAGTGACCCCCAGCCCTACTGTGACCCCAAATCCTCTCTGGGAGTGACCCCCAGCCCCACTGCGACCCCAAATCCCAGCTGGGAGTGACCCCCTGCCCCACTGTGCCCCCAAATCCGAGCTGGGAGTGACCTCCAGCCCCACTGCGACCCCCAACCCCCTCTGGGAGGGCCCCCCGCCCCACTTCCTGCTGGGAGTGACCCCCCGCCCTAGTGAGACCCCAAATGCCCTCTGGAAGGGACCCCCAGCCCCACTGTGACCCCAAATCCCCTCTGGGAGTGACCCCAGCCCCACTGCGACCCCAAATCTGTTCTCCCCACACCCCCAGCCCCACTGTGACCCCAAACCCCCTCCAGCCGTGCCCTTGCCCCCTGGCCCTGGCAGTGCCCACCTTGTTGCGGGGGCAGGCGAGGGGCTCGGAGAAGCCCACGAAGGGCAGCGCCAGGTTGAGGAAGGCGTTCTTGTAGGAGCTCAGCCGGCGGTGCCCCTGCACCAGCTTGAAGAGCTCCAGGCACGCCAGGCCCACCACGGCCGCCGTGGTGGTGGCGATGGCCGGGATGATCTTCCCTGCGATCAGTTTGCTCTGGGAACACAAAAAAATGGGATTTAGGCTTTGGGGGATGGCCCCAAAAACCAGCCACAGAACCCCCAGGGCCTCACAGCCCCACCATGGGGTCTGTATGGGCTCTGTGTGTGCCCCACATAAAAACCCCACAGCACCCCATAATAACCCCTGAAATACCCTAAAGCACCCCCTAGCACCCATAAAAACCCCCCAACACCCCATAACAACTCCTGAAATGCCCCAAAGGACCCATAATAACCCTCTAAAAACCCCCCAGCACCCCATAATAACCCCAGAAATACCCTAAAGCACCCCCCAGCACCCATAAAAACCCCACAGCACCCCATAATAACCCCTGAAATACCCTAAAGCACCTATAATAACCCTCTAAAAACCCCACAGCACCCCATAACCCCTGGAACCCCACAAAGCGCCCCCTAGCCCCCATAATAACCCCAGAAATACCCTAAAGCACCCCCCAGCACCCATAAAAACCCCACAGCACCCCATAACCCCTGGAACACCACAAAGCACCCCCTAGCACCCATAATAACCCCATAAAAACCCCCCAGCACCCCATAACAACCCACATAACACACCCAGCACCCCATAACAACCTCTGTAACACCCCCCAGCACCCATAAAAACCCCATAGTGCCCTTGACACCCCACAACAGCCCCATAGGTCCCCCCCAGACCCTCACCCAATGTGGCCTTAGCAGCCCCCCAGTGCTCCCAGTGTCCCCCGGTATCCTCCAGGCCCTATCCCCCAGCCCCTGCCCAGTGCTCCCAGTGCCCACCTTGTGGCGGTCGGCCGGGGGGATGTCGTAGTTCTCTGCCCGCAGGTTGGAGGCAGCCACGATGAAATCCATGTGGAAATTGGTGTCATCGTCCTGGGGACAGCCAGGGAGGGGTGAGGGCACCCAGGGGGGCAGGGGGCACCCAGGGGTGGGTGGGGGGCACTCGGGGGGGCAGCACCCACCTTCTCGAAGTCGATGGGGAACATCCTGAACCCCGGGAGCTCCTCGGGGCTGGGCAGCGACGCCTTCAGCTCCTCCAGGCGCCCGTCATCTGTGGGGAGGGAGGGGCACACGTGAGACCCCCCCTGGTACCCCCCTGGCACCCGTGGGACCTCCCTGGCACCCCCACGGCACCTGTGGGACCCCCAGGCCCTCACCCACAGTGGCATTCAAAGCCCCCCAGTGCGGCATTGGCAGCTCCCCAGTGCCCCCAGCCCCTCTCCCAACATCCCCAGTCCCTCACCCCGTGTTCCCAGTCCCGCCAGTAACCCCCAGTTCCTCTCTCAGTGCCCCCATCCCCTCTCCCAGTTCTCCCAGTCCCTCTCCCAGTGCCCCCATCCCCTCTCCCAGTTCTCCCAGTGCCCACATCCTCTCTCCCCCTCTCCCAACATCCCCATGCCCTCTCCTGGTGCCCCCCAGTGCCCCCATGCCCCTCTCCCCCTCTCCCGGTGCCCCCATCCCCTCTCCCGGTGCCCCCAGCCCCTCTCCCAGTGCCCCCATCCCCTCTCCCGGAGCCCCCAGCCCCTCTCCCGGCGCACCCAGCGCGGCGCTGGCGCTCTGCAGCTCCTGGTCAGACACGTGGATGCGCACGCCGGCCTTGGGCGCGAAGGGCGGCACGCGGACGTGCCGCAGCAGCTCGGCCACGGCCGCCCGGTCCCGCGAGCCCGCGATGCCGTAGCTCTGCGCAAACAGGTTCGCCGCCGCCACCACGTAGTCCAGGTGCAGGGGCTGGGGGACACGGGGCACAGCTGGCACCCAGAGGGGCAGGGATGGCACCCAGAGGGGCACGGGTGGCACCCGCGATGTGGCAGGTGGCACCCAGAAGGGCACGGGTAGCACCCAGAGCGGGGCAGGTGGCACCCACAGGGCATAGGTGGCACTCAGAGGGGCAGGGATGGCACTCACAGGGGGCAGGTGGCACTCAGAAGGGCACAGAGGGCACCCACGGGGCATGGGGGGCACCCATGTGCACCCAGAGCGGGGCAGGTGGCACCCACAGGGCATAGGTGGCACTCAGAGGGGCAGGGATGGCACTCACAGGGGGCAGGTGGCACTCAGAAGGGCACAGAGGGCACCCATGGGGCACAGGTGACACCCAGAGGGGCACAGGGTGAAACCCATGTGGGGCAGGTGGCACCCAGAGGGGGGTAGGTGGCACTCAGAGGGGCACAGGTGACACTCAGAGAGGCACAGGTGGCACCCACAGGGCGGGGGTGGCACCGAGAGGGGCATGGGTGGCACCCACAGGGCACAGGGGGCACTCAGAGGGGCACAGGGGGCACCCACAGGACATGGGGGGCACCCACAGGGGTGTAGGTGGCACCCAAAGGGGCCGGAGTGACACCCAGAGGGGCAAAGGTGGCACCAACAAGGGGAAGGTGACACCTAAAAGTAACAGTGCAGCACTAAAGGGGATGAAGGTGGCACTGAAGAGTGACAGGTGACACCCAAGGGTGACGGGTGACACTAAAGGTGGCAGTGTGGCACTCACAGGGGATGGAGTGGCACTCATGGAGCACCCACAGAGCACAGGTGGCACTCAGAGAGGGGCACAGGTGACGTCCCCTCCCGTAAGTGACACAGCCCCTCCCCAGGTGACACAGGTGAGGTCCCCTCCCCAGGTGACACAGCCCCTCCCCAGGTGACCCAGGTGAGGTCCCCCAGGTGACACAGGTGAGGTCCCCCAGGTGACACAGCCCCTCCCCAGGTGACACAGGTGAGGTCCCCTCCCCAGGTGAGCCAGCCCCTCCCCAGGTGACACAGATGAGGTCCCCCAGGTGACACAGGTGAGGTCCCCCGGGTGACCCTGCCCCTCCCCAGGTGACCCAGGTGAGGTCCCCTCCCCAGGTGACCCCACTCACGTTGTCGGGGTCGAACACGAGGGGGTGGGGGCAGCGCTTGGGCCCCGACCAGAACAGGGTCCCCGAGTTTGTTTTCTGGGAGGAGAGAGAAAATTTGGGTTAATGAGGTCATTAATTTAGGTTATTGAGTTATTAATTGGAGTTACCAAGCCAATTATTTAGGTTAACAATGCATTAATTAGATTAATGAGATAATCAAGGGGTGCTCCCCTATCTTGACGGACCTTGGGGTAAATGAAGTAATTAATAGGGTTAACAAGGTAATGGGTGTTAATGAGGTAATTAATTAGTAGGTGTTGGAGTAAATGAAGGAAGGGGGTAAGTAAGATCACTAATGGGGTTTATGTGATAATTAATCAGGACTAACAATGTAATTAATAAATTAACGTGTTAATTAAGACAGTCCCACCTGTCCCGGGGGGAGGTTGTGCAGCAGCTGGCGGATGTTGGGGTAAATGAGGTAATTGACTGGGGTAAATGAGGAACTAATGGGGTTAATAGGGTAATTAATCAGGACTAAAGATGTCATTAGTTAACTAACGAGTTGATGAGGCTCTCCCACCTGTGTCCCAGGGGCAAGTTGTGCACCAACTAGTAGATATTGGGGTAAATGAGATTGGGGTAAATGAAGCAATGGGGGTAAATAAGGTAACTAATGGAGTTAATAGGGTAATTAATCAGGGCTAACAAGGTAATTAATCAGGTTAGTTACAGGTGCCCACCTGTCCTGGGGGGGGAAGTTATGCAGCAGCTGGTGGATATTGAGGTAAATGCAGTTGGGGTAAATGAAGCAATGGGGGTAAATAAGGTAACTAATGGAGTTAATAGAGTAATTAATCAGGGCTCACAATGCCATTAATTAAGTTAATAAGGTAATTAACGCTGTCCCACCTGTCCCAGGGGGAAATTGTGCAGCAGCTAGTAGATATTGGGGTAAATGAGATTGGGGTAAATGACACAACGGGGGTAAACGAGGTAACTAATGGGGTTAATAGGGTAATTAACCAGGACTACCGATATCATTAATTAACTAACGAGTTAATGAGGCTGTCCCACCTGTCCTGGGGGGAAGTTGGGCAGCAGCTGGCGGATGTTGGGGTAAATGAGATTGGGATAAATGACGCAACAGGGGTAAACGAGGTAACTAATAGGGTTAATAGGGTAATTAATCAGGACTATCGATGTAGTTAATTAACTAACGAGTTAATGAGGCTGTCCCACCTGTCCTGGGGGGAAGTTGGGCAGCAGCTGGCGGATGTTGGGGTAAATGAGATTGGGGTAAATGACGCAACGGAGGTAAACGAGGTAACTAATAGGGTTAATAGGGTAATTAACCAGGACTACCGATATTATTAATTAACTAACGAGTTAATGAGGCTGTCCCACCTGCCCCGGGGGGAAGTTGTGCAGCAGCTGGCGGATGTTGTTGCTGTACTGGCGGTGCCAGTGCCGGCAGGCCCAGGCCACGCAGTCGGGCCAGGCGCGGGGCCGGTCGCTGACCAGGCTGCGCTGCACGGCCTCCAGCACCTCCAGCGGCTGCGTGCCCGCCAGGCGCAGGGTGCGCTCCAGGAACTTGGGGTCCCTGGGGGAGAAAGGGGGTACAGGGGTTAGGGGGATCCCAAACAGGCCAGGGTGCGCTCCAGGAACTTGGGGTCCCTGGGGGGAAAAGGGGTACAGGGGTTAGGGGGGTCACAGGGCACAGGGTGCGCTCCAGGAACTTGGGGTCCCTGGCCAAGAAACTCAACTGTTGACCTTGAGTACAAAATTCAACCATTGACATTGACCAAGAAACTCAACTGTTGACGTTGAGCACAAAATTGTATCATTAATATCAACCAGAAAAACCAATTACTGATGTTGATTGAAGAAACTCGACTGTTGGCACTGAACACAAAATTCTATCCTTGATGTTGGCCAAGAAACTCAACCTCTGACGCTGCCAAAGAAACTCAACCGTTGATGTTGAGCACAAAACTTAATTGTTGATGCTGGCCAAGAAACTAACGAGCACAAAACTCAACTGGTAACACTGGCCAAAAAACTCAACTGTTGATGTTCAGCATGAAACTCAACCGCTGATGTTGACCAAGAAACTCAACCATTGATGTTCGTCAAGAAACTGAAGTGTTGACATTGAGTCAACCGCTGACGTTGAGCACAAAACTCAATCCTTGACATTCAGCGTGAAACTCACCCATTGACCTTGGCCAACTCAATGGCATCCTCTTAAGGGGGGCTGCCCAACCTCCACTGGCTCTGGCCCTCCAGACCCCCCCAAACTCTGCCCCTCATTGTCCCCCCAACTCCTCCCTCCCCACCCACTCCAGCTTGGTGCAGCCAACCCAACGCTGGCCAACGCTCTGGTCACTCCCAGCCCTCACCGTGACGTCCCACGGCCGGAAGAGGAACTGGCGGTTGAGGTTGGACTTCTCGATGGTGTCCATGTCGGTGACGGTGACGCTGCCCTCGGGGCCGCAGCCCAGGCCCACCATGGCGAAGTTCTTGAGCAGCTCGCAGCCGATGGCCCCCGCTCCCACCTGCCAGGGACACGTGGGGACACGTGGGGACAGAGCACGAGGTGGCCCAGGGAGTTGGGGACATGTGGGGACAGAGGTGGGGACATGTGGGGGGCACAGCAGGAGGTGGCCCAGGGAGCTGGGGACATGTGGGGACAGAGGTGGGGACACAGCAGGAGGTGATGCAGGGAGTTGGGGACATGTGGGGACACAGCAGGAGGTGGCCCAGACAGTTGGGGACATGTGGGGACAGAGGTACGCTGCCCTCGGGGCCGCAGCCCAGGCCCACCATGGCGAAGTTCTTGAGCAGCTCGCAGCCGATGGCCCCCGCTCCCACCTGCCAGGGACACGTGGGGACACGTGGGGACAGAGCACGAGGTGGCCCAGGGAGTTGGGGACATAGGTGGGGACACAGCAGGAGGTGGCCCGGTGTGTTTGGACACACGTTGGAAAAGGGATGGGGGTGAGAGAACACTTTGGGACACTCAGAGGACACTAGAACAGAGTTGGGGACATAAGGGACATTGAGGACAAGCAGACAACTCGAAGGAACAATCAGGAAACGTGTGGGGACACCAGGGAACAGCTAAGGGACACATGGGGACACTTTGGGTGGCCCGGAAAGGCTGGGGACGTGCACATAGGTGACACCTGGTAAATACACAAAGGGAAATCTGGTGACGTTTGAGGAACAGGTGACAATGCAAGAGGCTCGTGGACGATAGAGAACACGGGTGGGGACACTGGGGACAGTGGGGACACTGACCACGAAGTACTTCTGGGCGCCCAGCTTGGCCTGAAGATCAGCCCCGAACACGGCGATCTGCCCGTCGTAGCGGCTGTTGCGCTGGGGACAATGCGACACCGGGTTCACCTGGCTGTGTCACCTGCCAGGGGACACCCCCGCGGCTGCAGAGCCACCACGGGGACTCAGGGGTGACAGCAGCCATGGCTATGTCCGCAAGGAATGACCACCCATGGGTGCTGGGTGGCCACCCTGACCCTGTGATGCTCCTGCTGTCCCCAACGGGGTGACCAATGGGGATCCCCCAAGAAATGTTCTCCAACCCATGTCCCCCCAAGGTGACACCACCCAGGGATGACACCCGCAGCCCCCCTGGTGTCCCCCAGCCCCCAAGGGATGTCCCCAACCCCCAAGGGTGCTCCCTAACCCAAGGAATGTCCCACCCAGCCCACAAGGATGTCGCCAGTCCCCAAGGGGTGTCCCCTCACAAGCTGGCACTGCTCCTTGGGTGTCCCCCAGCCCCCAGGGACATCCCCCAGATGTCCCCATGTCCCCTCACCAGCCAGCACTGCTCCTCAGGTGTCTCCCAACATCCCCAGTGTCCCCCAGCCCTCCCAGGTGTCCCCGTGTCCCCTCACCGGCCGGCACTGCTCCTCGGTCAGCAGCGTGTCGCGGTTCTGTTCAGGTGTCCCCCAGCCCCCCCAGGTGTCCCCAGGTGTCCCCGTGTCCCTCACCGGCCGGCACTGCTCCTCGGTGAGCAGCGTGTCGCGGTTCTCCTCAGGCAGACACTCGAGTGCGTCGAAGTAAAGCCACTGCGTGATGGGCGTGAACTTCCCCGACACGGCCTGGGGGACAGGGACAGCCCGGGGACAGTCAGGGACAGCTTGGGGACATGTCAGGGACAGTGAAATGCTGGGGGACACATCAGGGACATCCCAAGGGATGCATCAGGGACATCCTAGGGACACATGAGGGACAGGACCTCAGGGGACACATGAGGGACAGGATGCTGGAGGACACGTTGGGGACATCCCAGGGGACACGTCAGGGACAGGGCTGGGACCCTGGGGGACATGTCAAGAACAGGACAAGGACAAAGCAGCAACCTCATGGTGACATGACAGGGACAGGGACCTGGAAACGTGTAAGGGACAGGGATACGGGGGACGCATCAGGGACAGGACAAGGACAAAGCAGGAACCTCAGGGTGACATGTCAGGGACAAGGCCAGGACCCCAAGGGACACATTAGGGACAGGACTTCGGGGGAACCCCAGTGAACACCTCAGGGACACCACAGTGACCCCAGGGGATGCTACAGAACACAGACACTGAGTCTGGTACCCCAGGCAGGGCCAGGTGAGTGACTCCAGCTGTGACACACGGGGACAGCAGCCCCAGGTGGCCTTGGGGACATGGGGACACGGTACCTTCATGACCTCCTGCGCGGCCAGGCCGCCGATGAAGGCGTTGACCGGGGCCAGGTCGCCGGTGGCCTGGAAGGCCAATTCCCGCACCAGCTCCTCGTCCAGCTCGGCCCCCGCGGCCACCTCCTTGGTCAGGGCCACCACCTCGGCCGCATCACCCTGCCGGGGACAACGACAGGGACACGGTGGTGGGGACAGCAGGGAAGGGCCACGAGCAGGGCTGGGTGGTCTCCATGGCCTCAGCCTCCCCAAAGGCCATTCCACAGTCTGTGACACCCCCAAATGATGCCACCAGTGTCCCCAAAAGATAGTGGGACCGTGACGGCGGTCCCTGTTGGTGCAGGACCCAGTGGCTCCATGTCCCCAATGTCCCTGCAAGCCCTAACCACCCTTTACCCCTCTGATGTCCCCAAATTCTAGTGAAGCCCTGGTGACCTCCATGTTCCCAACACCCTCCATGTCCCCAGTGCCACCAGGACTCCAGAGACATTGCGTTGGGACAGATCATGGTGGCCTCCATGTCCCAAACACCCTCAGTGTCTCCAGTGTCACCAGCTGGTGACAGGGCCCTGGGGGTGGCCATGATGGGGCAGGTCACAGTGACCTCCAGGTGCCCAACACTCTCAATGTCCCCAGTGTCACCAACCCGATGTGGCCATGATGGGGCAGGTCATGTGGCCTCCATGTCCCCAACACCCTCAATCTCCTCAGTGTCACCAACTGGACATGGCCATGATGGGACAGACCATAGTGACCTCTATGTCCCCAGTGCCACCACCTGGGGGTGGCCATAATGGGACAGGGCATGGTGGCCTCCATGTCCCCAACACCCTCAGTGTCCCCAGGTCACCAACTCGATGTGGCCATGATGGGGCAGGTCATGGCAGCCTCCAACGCCCCAGACATCCCTGCACCCTGCTGTCCCCCTGGTGTCCCCGCGGTGTCCCCGGTGTCCCCACCTGGTGGCGGGGCCGCGGGGCGCGGCCGTGCTGCCGCAGGAAGCGGTGCAGGCCCTGCCACGCCCAGTGCAGCATCGAGGGCCTCTCGGCCTTCCCGAAATCCGTCACCATCATCTCGGGCTCGGCCATTGCGTCCCGCAACCGTTTCTGGAGGAGACAGCCCAGTGTAAACCAGTACAAACCAGCAGAGCTCAGTATTAACCACTATAATCCAGTATAAACCACTATAAACCAGTATAAACCATTAACCCAGTATAACCCAGTAGAGCCCAGTACCCCCAGTACCCTGTCAGTGCATCCCACAACTGTTTCTGGAGGAGACAGCCCAGTGTAAACCAGTACAAACCAGCAGAGCTCAGCATAAACAACTATAGCCCAGTATAATCCACTATAACCCAGTATAAACCACTATAGCCCAGTATAAACCATTAACCCAGTATAACCCAGTACAGCCCAGTGTCCCGCAACCGTTTCTGGAGGAAACAGCCCAGTGTAAACCAGTATAAAACACCAAGAGCTCAATATAAACCACCATAACCCAGTATAAACCAGTATAACCCAGTACAGCCCAGCGTCCTGCAACCGTTTCTGGGACAGGACAAGGACAGGTGACACCCCAGTATAAACCAGTACAGCCCAGTACACCCTAAGCACATCCCACAACCGTTCCTGAGGGGACACCCCAGTGTAAACCAGTATAAACCTGTGCAGCCCAGTATAAACCTGTACAGCCCAGTATAAACCAGTACAGCCCAGTATAAACCAGCACAACAACGTATAGCCCAGTTCAAACCAGTAGAGCCTCGTGCAACTCTAATGTAACCCAACATAAACCAGTACAACCCGCTATAAAACGGTGCACAAACCAGTATAAGCCTGTACAGCCCAGTATAATCCAGTACAACCCAGTATAGCTCTTTATAACCTTGTACAGTCCAGTATAAACCAGTACATGTCAGCATAACCCAACACAAACCAATATAACCCAGTTCAACCCAGTATAGCCCAGTAAAATCCACTGGCTCCCAAGTCCCTCCCAGTGCCCTCCCAGTGCCCCCAGTGCCACTCACGAAGTGGATGTGCTTGGGCATCTTGACCTGGGTGACGATGCCACCCCGCACGTAGTCCCCGTAGCTGCTGGTGTCCCCAATGCTGAATGTGTAGGGCCCTGGGGACACGGGGGTGTCACCAGGGCACCCCAAAAAGGGGCCCAGGTGTGTGGGGCACCCCAAAAATGGGTCCTGGCACTGCCAGAAAGGTGTCTGTGCCATCCAGAAGACTCCCCCAAAAAGTGACCCCAGGCAACCAGAATGTCCCCAAAACCAGACTGTGGGGTCTAGAGGAGACTCAGGTGTATCAGAGGCCCCCAAAAAGGGCCCCAGGTGCATCAGAAACCCTAAAAAAGACCCCCAGGTACCTCAGAGAACCCCCCCAACACAGCCCCAGGTGCCTCAGACACAGCCCTAGCACAGCTCCAGGTGCCTCAGGGACCCCAAAAATGACCACAGGTGCCCCAGAGACCCCAAGAAGGGCTTCAGGTGCCTCACAGACCCCAAAAAGGACCCCCAAGTACCTCAGAGACCCCCCACCAAGCAGCCCCAGGTACCTCAGAGACCCCAAAAAGGGCCCCAGGTGCCTCAGTGACCCCCCCAGAGCAGCCCCACGTGCCTCAGAGACCCCAAAAGGACCCCCGGGTGAGGGCCCCCCAGGCCAGGGCTCACCCAGCACGCGGATCTCCACGGGCCCGCAGCGGTTCAGCTCCTCCATCCCCTCCACCTCCGTGAAGGTGACGAAGTCGCCCGTCTCGAAGCCGTGACGCGCCTCGTCCAGGCAGGTCACCTCCCCAGGACAGCCCTGGGGACACGGGACAGCGTCAGGGGACATGGTGGGGGACACCCAGGAACCTCCCTGAGACAGCCCTTGGGACATGGGACACCCAGGTACCTCCCCGGGACAGCCTTGGGGACAAGGGACAGTGTGAGGGGACACGGGGGGACACTCAGAAACCTCCCTGAGACAGCCCTGGGGACATGGGACACCCAGGAACCTCCCCAGGACAGCCCTGGGGACACGGGACAGAGTCAGGGGACACAGGACAGCATGAGGGGACACGGGGAGACACCCAGGAACCTCCCCAGGACAGCCCTGGGGACATGGGATAGTGTCAGGGGACATGGGGGGACACCCAGGAACCTCCCTGGGACAGCCCTGGGGACACGGGGCACTGTCAGGGGACATGGGGGGACACCCAGGAACCTCCCCGGGACAGCCTTGGGGACATGGGACACTGTCAGGGGACATGGGGAGATGGGGAGGACATCCAGGACAGCCCTGGGGACACGGGGCACTGTCAGGGGACATGGGGGGGGACACAAGGCACCATGAGGGGACATGGTGGGGACACCGGGACACCCAGGAATCCAGAGGGGACCTCACCCAGAGGGGACCAGGACACCCCAAAACCCCCCTGGGGAACATGAGGGGACACGGCGGGGACACAGAGGGTGTTGAGGGGACCAGGACACCCCAAAAGCCCCCTGGGGACACCCCAGAGCTGTCCCCTCCCCGTACCTTGGTGACCATGGACACCATGGCACTGAGGGGCTGCTCCCCGTTGGGGTCTGTCACCACCATGTCGTCCCCAAAGTCACAGAATAGCTGCCTGTGAGGGGTGGGGGGGTCAGTGTGAAACCCCAAAAGGAATCCAGCCTAAAATCCCACCCCAAAAATCCCAACCCCAAAAATAATCTCCTAAAAATTCCCCCCTAAAAGGGACCCACCCTAAAATCCCCACCTCAACAATCCCAACCCAAAATCCCACCCCAGAAATGAACATCCTAAAATCTTCCCTCCCAAAAATTCCTTAAAAATCCCACTCCAGAAGGGATCTGCTCTAAAATGCCCACCCTAAAATCTCACCCCAGAAAAGAATCTGCTAAAAAATCCACCCCAAAAGTCGTCGACCATAAAATCTCCACGCTAAAATCCTCACACCAAAAAGGAACCTTCTAAAAATAAACCCAAAAGAGACCCACCCCAAGAGATGCACCCCAAAAAATCTCACCCCAAAAGAGATCTGCCCCAAAAGGGTCCAATCCCAAAAGAGATCTGCCCCAAAAAGGACCCATCCCAAAAGAGACTCCCCCAGAAAAGACCCATCCCAAAAGGGATCCACCCCAAGAAGGACCCCCCAGAAAACACCCACCCCAAAAGGGACCCACCCCAAAAGGGACCCCAAAGGCCCCGCGTGCCCGGCTCTCACCCGAAGAGCCCGCGCGTGTCGGCCACCACCAGTTTGATGCCGTGGCTGTGGCAGAAATCGCCCACCCAGAGCTGCTCCTCCAGCGGGGAGTTGGTCAGCACCACCACCTGTGGGACAGGGCACCTGGGCACTCACCTGGGCACCCAGCTGGGTACTCACCTGGGCACTAATCTGGGCACTAACTTGGGGAACCTGGGCACACAGCTGGGCATACACCTGGGCGCTAATCTAGGGAATATGGGCACTCACCTGGGTGCCCACGTGGGCACTAACCTTGGCAATCTGGGCACACACCTAGGCACTCACCTGCGTGCCCACCTGGGAACTAAGCTGGGGAATCTGGGCACTCACCTGGGCACTCACCTGAGTGCTCACCTGGGCACTAACCTGGGCAATCTGGGCACTCACCTGGGCACTCAGCTGGGTGCCCACCTGGGTACTCACCGGGCTCACATGGGCCACCTGGACTACCTAGGCCACCTGGCCCGCAGGTGGGCACACCTGTCTGAGAGGACTCACCTGGGTGCCCACGTGGGCACTAACCTTGGCAATCTGGGCACACACCTAGGCACTCACCTGCGTGCCCACCTGGGAACTAAGCTGGGGAATCTGGGCACTCACCTGGGCACTCACCTGGGTACTCACCAGGCTCACATGGGCCACCTGGATTACCTAGGCCACCTGGCCCGCAGGTGGGTACACCTGTCTGAGAGAACACACCTGTCCCCAGGTGGGCACACCTGTCTGAGAGCTACACCTGCTGTCAGGTGGGCACACCTAGGGGTTACACCTGCTGCCAGGTGGGCATACCTGTCTGAGGGTTACATCTGTACCCAGGTGGGCACACCTGTCTGAGAGCTACACCTGCTGCCAGGTGGGCACACCTGGGGGTTACACCTGTGCCCAGGCCTGCCTGAACAACACACCTGTCCCCAGGTGGGCACACCTGTCTGAGAGCTACACCTGCTGCCAGGTGGGCACACCTAGGGGTTACACCTGCTGCCAGGTGGGCACACCTAGGGGTTACACCTGCTGCCAGGTGGGCACACCTGCCTGAACATAACACCTGTCCCCAGGTGGGCACACCTGTCTGAGAGCTACACCTGCTGCCAGGTGGGCACACCTGGGGGTTACACCTGTGCCCAGGTGGGCACAGCCGTGCCAGCTCACCTGGAATGTGCCCAGCAGCTCCTGGGACAGCGGCTCCCGGGTGCTGCTCACGGCCACGTAGGAGTTGAGCTCGGCCAAGCGCGGCAGCGTGGCCTCGGCCCGGCTGCGCCCCACGTCCTCCTCCCGCAGGTAGAACTGGGGGGAACGAGGAGTCAGGAACCCCAGAAAAACACCAAAACAACCCCAAAACCACCCCAAAACAATCCCCAAAATAACCCCAAAACATCCCCAAAACAACCCCAAAAGAACTCCAAACAATCCCAAAACATCCCCCAAACACCCCCACATCCTCCTCCCGCAGGTAGAACTGGGGGAAGGAGGGGTCAGGAACCCCAAAAAACCACCAAAACAACTCCCAAAACACCCCAAAATAACCCCCAAAACACCCCCAAACAACCCCCAAAACACCCCCAAACAACCCCAAAAACATCCCCAAAACAACCCCTAAACATCCCCAAAACATCCCCAAAAACATCCTCTAAACATCCCCACAACAATCCCAAAAACATCCCCAAAACACCCCCTAAAAAAATCCCGAAAACACCCCCCAAAAAAATGCCCCAAACACCCCACATCCCCCTCCCACAGGTAGAACTGGGGGGCATGAGGGTCAGGAACCCCCAAACATCCCCAAAATAACCCCATAAACAACCCCAAAACCATCCCAAAACACGCCATGTCCTCCTGCTGCAGGTAAAATGGGGAGGGGAATTGAAGAGTAGGGGGGCCTGGAACCTCCAAGAAACCCTTCAAAACCCCCCCAAAACCCCAAAAACAACCCCAAGACTCCCCCAAAACATCCCAAAATCCTCACAACATGCTCCCAACACCCCCAAAACCAACCCCAAACACCCCAAAATCCCTCCAAATTCCCCCAAACTACCCCAAAACCCCCCAAACCACCCCAATAAACCCCCCTCAAAATCCCCTCACACCCAGAAGAAACTCCAGCACCCAAATGCAGCAATTAATGACATTTTAGGGTAAAAAGAAACCCCAAAAAGCCCAGGAAACCCCCCAAGGACGCACCTGGGAGGCCAGGTCGGCCCAGGCTGCGGGGTGGGGGTCGTGCAGGGTGACGGATTTGACTCCCCCCAGCACCAGGTTCTTGGCCACCTCCACGCCCAGCCCCCGCAGCCCCGACACCAGCACGTTGGAGGTCTGCATGCGCTTCATGGCCTCGTGGCCCAGCACGTACCTGGGGGGAAAAACCCCAAAAACGTCAGGGGGAACCCTAAAAAGACCACAGGAACTCAGAGCTCGCAGGGGAAACTCGTCAAGGTTGGAGGAACCCCCCTCAGTTTAAGTGCGTCCTGCTTAATTATCTATATTTATAAAAAATCCCAAATTGGTGGGGAAACCCTAATCCATGAGACCCCTCCAAACCCATAAAGAACCCCAAGTCTTTGGAGGAACCCCAAATCCATAAAGAACCCAAATAAACTCAATGAGAACCCAAACGCCTCAATGAGATGCCAAGAAACTCAATGGGAACCCAAAAACTTCAACGGGAACTCAAAACTCAAGAGGGGAAACTCGTCAAGGTTACAGAACTCCCCCCAGTTCAAATGTGTCCTGCTTAATTATCCATATTTATAAAAAATCCCAAATTGGTGGGGAAACCCTAATCCATGAGACCCCTCCAAACCCATAAGGAACCCCAAGTCTTTGGAGGAACCCCAAATCCATAAAGAACCCCGATCTTTAAGGACCCAACAAAACTCAATGAGAACCCAAACACTTCAATGAGATCCCAAAGAATTCAATGGGAACCCAAAAACCTCAATGGGAACTCAAAAATCTCAATGGGAACCCAAAACTCTCAGGGGAACCCCCTCAAGGCTGTAGAACCCCCCTCCAATTCGAATGCATCCCATTTAACTCACCATACTTACAAAAAATCCCAAATTTATAAGAAAACCCAAATCCACGCCACATCCCCAAATCCGTGGGGACACCACAACTCACAGGGCAAACCCCAAACTATGGGGAAACCCTGAATCCACAAGGAACCTCAAATCCAGGGGGAAATCCCAAATCCATGAAGACCCCACAGCTCACAGAGCAAACCCCAAACTATCCGTGGGGACACCACAACTCACAGGGCAAACCCCAATCTATGGGAAAACCCCAAATCTATAAGGAACCCCAAATCCATGGGGAAATCCCAAATCCATAAAGAACCCCAAATCCATGAGAAAACCCCAAACTACGGAGAAACCCTAAATCCAGGGGGAGACCCCAAATCCATAAGGAACCCCAAACTATAGGGAAAACCCCAAATCCAGGCGGAGACCCCAAACTGTGGGGACTCCCCCACTCCATAGGGAGCCCCCCAAGTCCGTGGAGATCCCAAACCCCTTGGGGACCCAAACTATGGGGAAACCCCAAATCCACAAGGAACCTCAAATCCATTGTGAAACCCCAAATCCATAAGGAACCTCAAATCCATGGGGAAACCCCAAATCCACAAGGAACCTCAAATCCATTGTGAAACCCCAAATCCATAAGGAACCTCAAATCCATGGGGAAACCCCAAATCCACAAGGAACCTCAAATCCATGAAGACCCCACAGCTCACAGGACAAACCCCAATCTACGAGGAAACCCCAAATCCATAAGGAACCCATGGGGAAATCCCAAACTGTGGGGACTCCCCCACTCCATAGGGAGCCCCCCAAGTCCGTGGAGATCCCAAACCCTCCTTGGGGACCCCAAACTCCCCTTGGGGACCCCAAACCCCCCTTGGGGACCCCAGAATGTCACAGCTGGCGGGAGTAGAGCCCCTCATCGATCTCGGCCTCGGCCCCGTTCTTCGCCATTCCCTGGGGACAGAGGGGACAGCGGTGTCACCACGGGGACAGCAGTGGCACCACGGGGACACCAGGGTGACCATGGGTGCTGTGACACCCTGAGACAGGGAGCAGGACCCCCAAGAGGTGGCAGGGGATGGCAGAGCGGTGTCACTCTGTGGTGACAACAGTTGGGCAGGTGACACCTTGTGGGTGACACTACCCGTTGTTGAGGGGACATTGGGGACCTGGGGGACAAATGTCACCCTCAGGACAAAGAAAGGGACAGCAAAGGACAGTACTTGTCACCAAGGCATCGTTAACAGAGTGACCCCGAGCGGACTCAAGGGACACTGAGGGACATGTGCCACCCCCAAGACCTGAAGGTGACACCGTGTGGGTGACACCGCCCATGCTGGGGGGGACACTGTGGACAAATGTCACCCCCAGGACAAAGAGGGACCCCACAAGGGACAGTAAATGACTCTGAGCAGAGTAAGGGGACAGCAAGGGACACACGCCACCCCCAAGACCCACAGGTGACAGCAGGTGACAGCAGGTGGCACCGCGGCCCCAGCAGCAGCTCTGAGCGCCACAGAGGTGACAATGACACCAGGGGCTCCCCAGAGGGTGACAAAGCCCCTGTGGGGGGTCTGGGGTCTCCGAGGGGGCGGTGGCACTCGGGAGGGTCGGTGGCACTGGGCAGAGGTGGTGGCACTGGGCAGGGGTGGTGGCACTCGGCAGGGGTGGTGGCACTCAGGAGGGGATGGTAGCACTCAGGAGAGTTTGGTGGCACTCAGGAGGGCTGGTGGCACTGGGCAGGGGTAGTGGCACTGGGCAGGGGTGGTGGCACTCGGAGGGGTGGTGGCACTGGGGAGGGGGTGGTGGCACTCAGCAGGGTTGGTGGCACTGGGCAGGGGTGGTGGCACTCAGCAGGGGATGGTGGCACTCGGGAGGGGTGGTGGCACTGGGCAGGGGTGGTGGCACTGGGCAGGGGGGGTGGCACTCAGGAGGGGATGGTGGCACTCGGGAGGGTTGGTGGCACTGGGCAGGGGTGGTGGCACTGGGCAGGGGTGGTGGCACTCACGTTGGCGGGGGTGACGCTCGGGGACACGGCGGGGGCAGGGGCGCGGCTGGAGCCCGTCGGTGGCTCTGACCCAGAGACGCGGCGCTTCTTCGACAGCGGGGAGCTGGACATCTGGGGACAGGGACAGGGGACACTCAGGGACTGCTGGGGACACTGCTGGGGACAGGGACAGGGGACACTCAGGGACTGCTGGGGACACTCAGACAGCTGGGGACAGTCAGAGACAGCTGGGGACAGGGACAGTCAGGGGACACTCAGGGACAGGGACACCAGGGACACCAGGGACAGCTGGGGACAGTCAGGGACAGCTGGGGACAGTCAGGGCAGGGGTGGAGATGGGGACAGCTGGGGACAGGGACAGTCAGGGGACACTCAGGGACAGGGACACCAGGGACACCAGGGACAGCTGGGGACAGTCAGGGGACACCTGGAGACAAGGACAGTTGGGGACAGGGACAGCTGGGAACAGTCAGGGACAGCTGGAGACAGGGACAGTCAGGGGACAGGTGAGGCTGCACATGGGGACAGGTGGGGACAAAGAGAGGGTAGGGATATCCACGGGCAGAGGGGAGCTGGGACATCTGGGGACATGTGGGGACAAGGATGGGGTCAGGGGACATCTGGGGACAGGGACAGCAGGGAACTGGACATTTGGGGATGGCCAGGGGTCAGCTGGACATTCAGGGATGGGGACAAAGAGAGGGTAGGGATATCCACGGGCAGAGGGGAGCTGGGACATCTGGGGACATGTGGGGACAAGGATGGGGTCAGGGGACATCTGGGGACAGGGACAGCAGGGAACTGGACATTTGGGGACTGCCAGGGGTCAGCTGGACGTTCAGGGACAGAGGACAGGCAGGGTCACACGAGGACAGTGCTGGGGACACTGGGAGTGACACAGGGTGATGCTGAGGACAAGAGGTGACATCTGTGGGGACCTGAGGTCACCCACAGCAGGGGGTGGCACACAGGGTGGCACTGAACAGGACACAGTGACACATGGGGTGACGAGAGGTGACACCGGGGACAGGGGATGATGCTGGAGGGGACACCAGGTGACACCAGAGGTGGCAACGAGGGACACGCAGGGATGGAGAGGGTGATGCAGGGTGACACCAGGTGACAGCGAGGACACAGAGGGTGACACCAGGTGAATGGGGTCACGGGCGGGGCCAGCAGGTGCCACAGTCCCCGCGCTGTCCCATCGGCTGTCACCGCCCTGGTGACACCAGGCACGGACAGGGCGACACGCAGGGACGGAGGGACGCGCACAAGGGTGGGGAGGGACACCTGGGGACAGCGAGGTGGCACTAAGGGACATCAGACCACACCAGCAGCCCGCAGACCCAGGCACAGCGCCGCCCGCTCCCCCGAGAGCGCTCCCAGCACCGGGGGGCCCGCGGGGGTCCCGGGGGTCCCATCCCGGGGCGATCCCGCCCTCGGGGCCTCCCTTGCGGGGTTCCCCATTTACCGGGGGGCTCCGCATCCCCGGGGGTCCCACCCGGGGGGGCTCCCCATCCCCGGGGGTCCCCGAGCGGGGCTCAAGGTCCCGGCCGCGCTCCCCACCCTGCGGGTCCCGCTGTGAGGGGGGGGCGGTTCCCCCTCACGGCTCCCCCCCGGCCCCCTCAGGCCCGGCGCCGGCTCCCCCAAGGCGGGGCCGCACTCGCCGGCCCCGGGGCCGCCTCCCCGCGCTCCTGCAGCCCGGGGCAGCCCCCGAGGGCCCCCGACGGCGGCCGGGAGGGGACACGGGGCTGCAAAGGGCGGAGTGCGGGGGGCTGTGGGTGGGTACGGGGGGGTCTGGGGGCTATGGGGGCCAGGGGAGGCTATAGGGACCTAAGGGGGGATTTTGGGGGGTCATTGGGGACCATCAGAGGCTCCTAACAGCGCTTAAAGAGCCCACAGGAAACCGCGGAAGACTTTACGTAGCGTCATGCCGAATTGCACAACTTTGTAGAGTTGCATGGAAAAATTTAAATGAAGGCCTCTGAAGTAAGGCAGGAACCCACAGCAGCCAAGGGGGGCCCCAGAGGCACAGGGGGCTACACACAGGGCCGTGGGGAGGACCTGAGGGGGCTACAGGGGCCCGAGGGGGGTCTGCAGCAGCCCAGGAGGAGCGTGGGGAGCCTCGGGGGTCTCCAGAGCCCGAGAGGGGCTCGCCCGCAGGTTCTGTGGGGCTTGAGCGGGTCTAGGGGGCCATGGGGGGCTCAGAGGGGCTGTGGGGAGCTACAGGGGCGCATGGGAGGGGCCGTGGGGACCAAAGCGCCATTTCCGCGTGTTGTCGCTGCCTGGTGACGTCATAGAGCCGCAAGGTCCACTGGGAGATGTAGGCCATTGAGCAAAGAATAGACCGCGGAGGCCAGAGCGCCATTTCCGCGTGTCGCTGCATGATGACGTCAATGGCCCGCAAGGGTTGCCGGGAGATGTAGTTTCTTGCTCCTCCCCCCAAAATAAAAGGCGCAGGAGTCGGGGGGGACACAGAGCTTTATTCACAAACCAACTCCGGGGTCCGGGGTCGCTCCGGGGGTCCGAGGGTCACTCCGGGGGGGGCAGGGGGAGGCGCTTGGGGTCGTAGTAGTTGGAGGTGAGCAGGGGCAGCCCCTGGCGCTCCCGCTCCCGCACCAGCACCTCGGCCTCGCGCCGCGCCCACTGCTGCAGCCTGCGGGGAGGGGGCGGGCGGGTGAGCCCCTCACCCTGGGGACATCCCAAACCCCCTCCCAGGTGTACAAACCTTCCTCCCGAATGGCCCAGGTGTCCCTATAGGTCCCCATAAACCCCCCAGAGTCCACCCTAACCCCTCTGAACCTCCTATAGCCCCCCCACAGGGCTCTGCAGCCCCCTCAATCCTGTCCCAGGTCCCCCATGGGCTCCTATAGACACCCCCAGAGCTGCCAAGGGCCCTACAGACCCCAAAAGCCCCAAAGAATTCATAGAAACCCCCGTAGGCTGTACAAGGGGTCTTGTTCACTCCCAAATTCCCTTGGAATCTCTCACAAAACTCTCAAGAAACCCTACAACACCCAAAAAAACCCCTACAAACCCCAAAAATGTACTTAAGAGCCCCTCCACAGCTCCCCCAGGAGCTCCCCTTGGGGCTGCCCCCCTCCTCCCCCTTCTCCGCGGGGGGTTTCCCAGGTGAGACCCTCAAGAAACCCTACAGCACCCACAGACCCCCCAAAAAACCCCTACAAACCCCAAAAATGCACTTGAGAGCTCCTCCATAGCTTCCCCAGGAGCTCCCCTTGGGGCTGCCCCCCTCCCCCCTTTCTCCGTGGGGGGTTTCCCAGGTGAGACCCCCGCTCACGGACCCGTAGTCGGGCAGGTAATGCACGAAGACGGAGCCCAGGACGATGGCGATGGAGACGCCGGCCAGGAAGGCGGCGCGCATGTTCAGCACGTCGGCGTCGGGGTCGGCCGAGAAGCCATGATAGTCGGGGTTCTGCGGGGGGAGGGTCCTGTGAGCCCCAGGTGTGTCCCAGCCCCTCCTCCGGGACCCCCAGGTGTGTCCCAGCCCACCCTCAGGAGCACCGAGGGCCAGAGGAGCTGCCTAAGCCCCAAGCCCAGGTGAGTCCCCTCCTAAATCCCAGCACTGGCCACGCCTTTTATCGGCCACGCCCTTTCCGGGCCACGCCCATCGTCCCCAGGTGCGTCCTAGTCCTAATTTAGCCCAGGCCACGCCCCCTCCAGGCCCCGCCCCTACGCAGCCACACAATCACCTGAGCGCGGTGAAGCCCCGCCCCAAATGAGGCCCCGCCCACAAATCCCCGCCCCTAAATACCCTCAAACCCTAAGCCCCGCCCATAACATTTACACCACGCCTGTTCTAACTAGGCCACGCCCCTTCCAGTCATGCACATCAAACTCCACCCAAGAGCGGCCACGCCCAAAGCCACGCCCCTCAGCAGACCACGCCCACCCCGTCCCCACACAAACCCCGCCCCTCCCGCTTTGCCCTTGGCCGCTCACCTTCCTCTGCGCCACCAACATCGGCTCCTCGTCGTGCGCGTCGGCCCCGAGCGGCCGCGGCAGCGCCACGGCCCCGGGGGACCCCGCCGAGCGGCCCCGAGCCCCGGCGGGCAGCGCCCGCAGCGCCCGCAGCGCCCGCCACAGCGCCGCCATCTTGCCCCGCCGCTCCGCCTCGCCTCTTCCGCTCAACCCGGCCAATCGCGACCTCGCGTTGGTGTTTTATCCCGCCCCCGCGCCGCGCAGCCAATCACAGCGCTGCGCCTGCCTTTGTCCCACCCACTCCCTCATGGTGGCCGCGCCCACTTTGGCGCTGCAGCCAATCATAGCCAGTCGTGGTGCTGCACCGCCCACTCTGCAACATGAACCAATAAAAACGAGGTTTTTTTCAGACTGGCGGGGGCACCCACCAATGGGCGGTCGGAAAGGGCGGGCGCGCGGGACGGGCCCGGCTGAGCGGGAGCGGCGCCGCCATTTTGGTGCCGGGGAGCGGCGGCGGCGGCGGCGCCGGGGAAGGTCGGGACGGCCGCGAGGGGCGGGACGGGCCCGGCCGGGATGGGAGGGGCCTGTGGGGAGGGGCGTGGCTCACCGGGAGGGGCGGGGCCGACCGGGAGGGGCGGGGCTGAACGGAACTCCCGGTGCAGTTCGTGAGGGAGGGGGTGTGAGAGCGGGACCCGGGGCTGGAATTTTAATGCTAATTAGGGGGTGGGGTGTTTTATGTTAATTATGGGGCGTGGCGGTGTATGCTAATTAGGGGCGGGGTACGAGGGCGGTGCTGTCTGCTCCTCCTCCCCTGCCCAGGGCCCAGTGGCTCCCAGTTCATCCCAGTTCCACCCTCTCTTCCCCCTTGTTCCCCTTTTGGCCCTCCCAGTTTGCCATAAATTTTTCCAGTCATTCCTCCCGGTCCATCCCGGTGCTTTCCAGTTCCCTGAGTTCTCTTCCCATCGAACCCAGTCACTCCCAGTCCATCCCAGTTCCTCCCAGTTCCTCCCAGTCTGACCAGTTTTTGCCCTGGCAGGTGCTGGCACCATGGAGTACGAGCGCAGGTGAGGGGGAGCCTGGGGATCCCCAAAACTCGGGGCTGGGGGGCTGGGAACATCTGGGCAGCTGTTGGGGACCCCCGTGAAATAAAATTCAATATTCTGGGGAGGTGACACCGGGGAGGGAGGGGACGTTTGGGGGCACCTCAGGGGGCATTTGGGGGCACCTCAGGGGGCATTTGGGGAGCGCTGGGGGCAGAGGGGACTTTGGGGATCCTGGAGGGTGGAAGGAGCCATTTGGGGGGCAGATTTGGGGTCAGGATTTGGGCTCCAGGACTTGGAGTCCAGGATTTAAGGTGCAGATTTGGGGCCCAGGATTTGGGGTTCAGATTTGTTGTGCACATTTGAAGTTCATATTAGGGGCCCAGGATTTGGGGTGCAGATTTGGGATCCAGGATTTGTTGTGCAGTTTTGGAGTCCAGGATTTGGGGTTCAGATTTCTTGTGCACATTTGAGGTCCATATTTGGGGCCCAGGATTTGGGGTGTAGATTTAGGGCCCAGGATTTGGGGTCCATACTTGGGTCCATACTTGGGTCCATATTTGGGGTCGAGGATTTGGGGTCCATCTTTGGGTCCATATTTGGGATCCAGGATTTGGGGTTCAGATTTGGGGTCCATATTTGGATCCATGTTTGGGGTCCATCTTTGGGGTCCATATCTGGATCCATATTGGGGTCCATGTTTGGGGTCCAGGATTCGGGGTCCATATTCGGGGTCCATATTTGGGGTCCATATTTGGGTCCATATTTGGGTCCATATTTGGGTCCATGTTTGGGGTCCATCTTTTGGGTCCATATTCGGGTACATATTTGGGATCCAGGATTTGGGGTCCATGTTTGGGGTCCATATTTGGAGTCATATTTGGGGTCCATATTTGGGTCCATATTTGGGTCCATGTTTGGGGTCCATATTGGGGTCCATATTTGGGTCCATATTTGGGTCCATGTTTGGGTCCATGTTTGGGTCCATCTTGGGGGTCCATGTTTGGGGTCCAGGATTCAGGGTCCATCTTTGGGGTCCATACTTGGGTCCATCTTTGGGGTCCAGGATTCAGGGTCCATATTGGGGGTCCATATTCGGGTCCATATTGGGGTCCATACTTGGGTCCATATTTGGGGTCCAGGATTCAGGGTCCATATTTGGGGTCCATATTCGGGTCCATATTCGGGTCCATCTTTGGGGTCCATGTTTGGGTCCATCTTTGGGGTCCATATTTGGGGTCCAGGATTTGGGGTGCAGATTTAGGGACCAGGATTTGGGGTGCACGTTTGCCCGCCGTGGCTCAGCCGCCCCTCCCTGCCCAGGGGTGGCCGTGGGGACCGCACGGGGCGCTACGGGGGCGCCCCGCCGCCCTCGGAGGACGGCTCCCGCGCCCAGCGTGACCACGACTATCGCGACATGGACTACCGGGGCTACGGGGGCCCCCCCGAGGGGCCCCCCGCCGCCGGGACCCCCCCTCAGGTGCGTGCTGCCTGCCGGGGGCCTGCGGAGCTTGGATTTTTATTTTGCCAGAGTTTTTTTTGTTTGTTATTTTGTCAGAGTTAAATGTGTGAGATGGGGTTTTTGTTTGGGTTTAGGTGTTAGATTTAATGTATATTATTCTATGTATATTATAGTCTTATAAGTTGTGAGTTATATAGTGTTTTGGTGTCAGGAATTATAGTGGAATAAATAGAAAAATGAATTAAATAACAAAATAGAAATAATAAAATATTTATTTTAATAATTCTTAAATAATAATTATAATATTATAATTATTATAGTCTTATAAATTGTGAATTTTATAGTGTTTTAGTGTCAAGAATTAAAAATAGAATAAGTATAAATAAGAAATAAATAACAAAATACAAATAATAAAATGTTTATTTTAATAATATGAATTATTATTCTATTTATGAGTAACATACTACATTTATTATGATAGAAATTGGTTTTTATTTTAGTAATAAAGTAGTATGTTTATTATAATAGAAATTGATTGTTACTTTTTATAATAAAGTAATATATCTGTAATAATAAACAATAAAATACAAGCAAGAATGCAATAAGTACACAAATAAAAAATAATACAAGTAATAAAACAATAAGTAATGTGTAAGGATATGAAAGGTAATTATAGTGAATATAGTGAAAGTAATTGTTGTGTGGAGTTTTGAAGATAAGCTGTTTAATTAAGAGTTTATGCTTGGATTGCTTTTATTTCTAATTCAGTTACTAATTAATTGTAACTTGTATTGTACTGTGGGTTTTTGTGCGTAACCTTAAAATGTTGCTTAAATTTATGGCAAAGAAGGTGAGGGGCAAGGACTAGCTCTTGTGTTAAAACTTTTATTTTATGTGTGTGTTGCTGTATTATAAAACTTTAAACAGAAAGTTTTTTCTTGCATGTTACCTAGTTTATTAGTTTAAATGATACACTCATTATTTTAGTTTCTTAATTTAATTGTGGGAGTTTTCTTTACAGTTTCAGGTTAAATGCAGCCTTTTCTTGGGAGTCAATATTTTTTAGTACAGAAACATAAAATTTCCCGTGGCTGAGGCTCTAACAGCCCCTCCCCGCCCTGTTCCAGGCGTCCTACGAGAGCACGGAGCCCCCCCGGAAGCGGGAGCCGGCCCGGGAGCCCCCCCGGGACCCCCCGGCGCTGCCGTTCGGCGCCGACGGCGATTACCGGGACCAGGATTACCGGGAGGGCGCCGAGGAGGAGCCGCGCGCCAGCACCATCGTCATGCTGCGCATGCTGCCCCAGGCGGCCACCGAGAACGACGTGAGCCCCGCCCCCTGCGGCCACGCCCCCTCCTGCTGCGGCCCCGCCCACTCCGGCTGTGGTCACACCCCCAGCTGGGATGGCCCCGCCCCCTAGTTTGGATGGCCACACCCCTCTTCATCGTGGCTCCACCCCCAGCTCAGATGGCCACACCGTTTTTCATCATGGCTACACTCCAGCTGAGATGGCCACACCCTGCTTCATGGCCCGCCCCAGCTCAGATGGCCACACCCCTCTTTAGCATGGTCCCGCCCCCAGCTCAGATGGCCACGCCCCTCTTTAGCATGGCTCCACCCCTAGCTCAGATGGCCACACCCCTCTTCATCATGGCCCTGCCCTGAGCTCAGATGGCCACGCCCCTCTTTAGCATGGCTCCACCCCTAGCTCAGATGGCCACAGCCCTTTTCATCATGGCCCCACCCCGTATATTGGATGACCACACCCCTCTTCATCATGGCCCCGCCCCCAGCTCAGATGGCCACACCCTTTTTCATCATGGCCCCGCCCCCGGCTGTGGTGACACTTCTGACTTCTGGGATGGCTCCACCCCTTTTTGCTGAGGCCCCGCCCCGTGCCACGATGGCCCCATGTCCCCTCCAGGCACTGTCCCCATGTCCCTCTGGGTACTGTCCCTATGTCCCCATGTCCCCATGTCCCCATGTCCCCATGTCCCCGTGTCCCCGCAGATCCGGGCACAGCTGCAGGCGCAGGGGGTGCAGCCCCGTGAGGTGCGGCTGATGCGCAACAAGTCCTCAGGTGAGTCTCACCTGGACCTCCCCTCCTCACCTGAGCCCCTCCCCTGCTCACCTGGCCCCTCCCCTCCTCACCTGGGCCCCTCCCCTGCTCACCTGGCCCCTCCCCTCCTCACCTGGGCCCCCACCCATCACACCTGGGCTCTCTTTAGGGTGGGGGGCACCCTGACACGGGGGTCCCTTGGAGGGGGGAGGGTCCCTGTCCTGCTGGGGGGCACCCAGGGGGGTGGTCCCGTTCCCTAGGGGCACCCAGGGGTGCCTGTCCCCTCTTCAGGTGCACCCAGGGGTGCTGGTTCCATCCTTAGGGGCACCCAGGGGTGCTTGTCCCTTTCTCAGGAGCACCCAGGGGTGCTTTTGCCAGGCTTAGGGGGCACCCAGGGGTGCCTGTCCCCTCCCTAGGGGTGTCTGTCCCTTCCCATCCATCTTTAGGGGCACCCAGGGGTGCTTCTGGCAGGTTTAGGGGGCACCCAGGGGTGCTGTACTGACCTCAAAGGGTACCAGGGGTGCTGATCCCATTCCTAGGGGCACCCAGGGGTGCTGGTCTTCTTCTTAGGGGCACCCAGGGGTGCCTGTCTCCTTCCCAGGAGCACCCAGGGGTGCTGGTCCCATCCCCAGGGGCACCCAGGGGTGTCAGTTCCCTCCCTAGGGGCACCCAGGGGTGCTTGTCCCTTTCTCAGGAGCACCCAGGGGTGCTTTTGCCAGGCTTAGCAGGCACCCAGTGGTGCCTTTCCCCTCCTTAGGGGCACCCAGGGGTGCCTGTTCACTCTCTAGGAGCACCCAGGGGTGCTGGTCCTCTTCCAAGGGGCACCCAGGGGTGCCAACATCATCTCTAGGGGCACCCAGGGGTGCCTGTCCCCTCCACTGGGGCACGCAGTGTCAGGCTTAGGGGGCACCCAGGGGTGCTGCTCCCATCTTTAGGGGCACCCAGGGGTGCTGCACCGGACTGGAATGGAACCAGGGCTGCTGATCCCATTGCCAGGGGCACCCAGGGGTGCTGGTACCATTCCCCAGGGACACCCAGGGGTGTCTGTCCCCTCCCCAGGAGCACCCAGGGGTGCTCATCATTTCCCCAGGGGCACCCAGGGGTGCTGCACCGGACTGGAATGGAACCAGGGCTGCTGATCCCATTGCCAGGGGCACCCAGGGGTGCTGATCCCGTTGCCAGGGGCACCCAGGGGTGCTGGTACTATTCCCCAGGGACACCCAGGGGTGTCTGTCCCCTCCCCAGGAGCACCCAGGGGTGCTCATCATTTCCCCAGGGGCACCCAGGGGTGCCAGGTTTGTCTTTAGGGAGCACCCAGGGGTGCCCATCGTGTCTTTAGGAACACCCAGGACTGCCTGTCCCCTCCCTGGGGGCACCCAGGGGTGCCAGTCTCATCTCTAGGGACACCCAGGGGTGCTGCACCAGACTTGGGGGGCACCCAGGGGTGCTGGTCCCATTCCTAGGGGCACCCAGGGGTGCCAGTGCTGTCTCTAGGGGCACCCAGAGGTGTCAGTCCCTTCCTCAGGAGCACCCAGGGGTGCTGATCCCTTCTCTAGGGGCACCCAGGGGTGTCAGTTTCCTCTTTAGGGGCACCCAGGGGTGCTTGTCCCTTCTTCAGGAGCACCCAGGGGTGCTGCACCACACTCGGGGGGCACCCAGGCCTATCGATCCCGTTCTAGGGGCACCCAGGGGTGCCATTCTCATGCTTAGGGAGCACCCAGGGGTGCTCTTTGTCCCCTTAGGAGCGCCCAGGGGTGCTTGTCCATTTCTCAGGAGCACCCAGGGGTGCTGAGCCCAGATCAGGGGGCACCCAGGGGTGCCAGACCCTTTCCCAGGGGGCACCCAGGGGTGCCTGTCCCCACCCTAGGGGCACCCAGGGGTGCCAGCCCCCTCCCCAGGAGCACCCAGGGGTGCTGAGCCCAGCTCAGGGGGCACCCAGGGGTGCCAGCCCGGTCCCCAGCCCCATCCCCAGGAGCACTCAGGGGTGCTGAGCCCAGCCCAGGGGGCACCCAGGGGTGCCAGGGGCACCAGGAGCGCCTGTAGGCTTCACCTTGGGGATCCCCCAGGGGTTCCAGCACCACCCGTGGGTGCCCTGCCCCCACCCCAGCGGGTCCTTGGGCGCCCTGCCCCCGCCCCAGGGGGTCGCAGAGCACCCATGGGTGCCCCCCCTCCCCCGTGGGCCATTCCAGGTCAGAGCCGCGGATTCGCCTTCGTGGAATTCCATCACGTGCAGGAGGCGGCCCGCTGGATGGAGGCCAACCAGGTGGGGGCGGGGCCGACAGGAGGGGCGGGGCCACGTGAGGGGAGGGGCCTACAGGAGGGGGAGGGGCCGTCCATATTTGGAGT